TCAAAGATTAAATGTTTCTGTGAAGAAGTCGAGTTTTGCGGCAGAAATCACCAGACCGGTCTTGGTCTAACCCCGGTCTTGGTGTAACTCCAGTCCTGGTCTTGATCCTGGTCTAACCCTGGTCCTGGTCTGGTTCTGTGCAGGTTCTTGAAGACCATCTCCGTCATCTTGTTCTTGAACAAACAGGACGTTTTGGCCGATAAGATTCTGGCGGGAAAATCCAAACTGGAAGATTATTTCCCCGAGTACGAGAACTACAGCGTACCCCCCGACTGTGAGTGAGGAGCACCTGACACACACGAGGAGGGACCTGACACACACGGAGAGCACCTGACACACACGGAGGGCATCTGACACACACGGAGGGCACCTGACACACACGAGGAGGGACCTGACACACACGGAGGGCACCTGACACACACGAGGAGGGACCTGACACACACGGAGGGCACCTGACACACACGGAGGGCATCTGACACACACGGAGGGCACCTGACACACACAGAGGGCATCTGACACACACGGAGGGCACCTGACACACACGGAGGGCATCTGACACACACGAGGGCCTGACACACACGGGAGGGACCTGACACACGACACACACGGAGGGCACCTGACACACACGAGGGACCTGGACCTGACACACACGGAGGGCACCTGACACACACGGAGGGACCTGACACACACGGAGAGGCATCTGACACACACGAGGAGGGACCTGACACACACGAGACCTGACACACACGGAGGGGACCTGACACACACGGAGGGCACCTGACACACACGGAGGGCACACACACACGAGGGCACACACACGGAGGGAGGGACCTGACACACACGGAGGGCACCTGACACACGGAGGGACCTGACACACACGGAGGGCACACACATGACACACACGGAGGGCACCTGACACACACGGAGGGCACCTGACACACACGGAGGGCCTGACACACACGAGGGCACACGAGGGACCTGACACACACGGAGGGCACCTGACACACACGGAGGGCACCTGACACACACAGGGCACGGAGACCTGACACACACGACACACACGGAGGGCACCTGACACACACACGGAGGCACCTGACACACACGGAGGGCACCTGACACACACGGAGGGCATCTGACACACACGAGGAGGGACCTGACACACACGGAGGGCACCTGACACACACGGAGGAGGGACCTGACACACACGGAGGGCATCTGACACACACGAGGAGGGACCTGACACACACGGAGGGCACCTGACACACACGGAGGGCATCCTGACACACACACGGAGGGCACCTGACACACACGAGAGGGACCTGACACACACGGAGAGGGCACCTGACACACGAGGAGGGACCTGACACACACGGAGGGCACCTGACACACGGGGAGGGACCTGATACACACGGAGGGACCTGACACACACGGAGGGCACCTGACACACACGGAGGGCACCTGACACACACGGAGGGCACCTGACACACAGAGGAGGGACCTGACACACACGGAGGGCACCTGACACACACGGAGGGCATCTGACACACACGAGGAGGGACCTGACACACACGGAGGGCACCTGACACACACGGAGGGCACCTGACACACAGAAGAGGGACCTGACACACACGGAGGGACCTGACACACACGGAGGGCACCTGACACACACGGAGGGCACCTGACACACACGGAGGGCACCTGACACACACGGAGGGCACCTGACACACGGAGGGCACCTGACACACACGGAGGGCACCTGACACACAGAAGAGGGACCTGACACACACGGAGGGCACCTGACACACACGGAGGGCACCTGACACACACGGAGGGCACCTGACACACACGGAGGGCATCTGACACATACGGAGGGCACCTGACACACACGAGGAGGGACCTGACACACACGGAGGGCACCTGACACACACGGAGGGCATCAGGGGCACGGGCACACAGGAGGGGCGGGGCTTGTGGGTGCTGCACTCTGATTGGTCGTTTCTGTTGCAGCTGTTTCAGACGAAGGAGAAGATCCAAAAGTGACACGAGCGAAGTTCTTCATCAGAGACGAGTTTCTGGTAAAAACCTCACACCTGGTTTAGACCTGGTTTAGTCCTGGTTTAGTCCTGGTTTAGACCTGGTTTAGTCTGGTTTAGTCCTGGTTTAGACCTGGTTTAGACCTGGTTTAGTCCTGGTTTAGACCTGGTTTAGTCCTGGTTTAGTCCTGGTTTAGACCTGGTTTAGTCCTGGTTTAGACCTGGTTTAGTCCTGGTTTAGTCCTGGTTTAGACCTGGTTTAGTCCTGGTTTAGTCCTGGTTTAGAGACCTGGTTTAGTCCTGGTTTAGACCTGGTTTTAGTCCTGGTTTAGACCTGTTTAGTCCTGGTTTAGTCCTGGGTTTAGACCTGGTTTAGTCCTGGTTTAGTCCTGGTTTAGACCTGGTTTAGTCCTGGTTTAGACCTGGTTTAGTCCTGGTTTAGTCCTGGTTTAGTCCTGGTTTAGACCTGGTTTAGACCTGGTTTAGAACCTGGTTTCCTGGTTTAGTCCTGGTTTAGACCTGGTTTAGACCTGGTTTAGTCCTGGTTTAGACCTGGTTTAGACCTGGTTTAGACCTGGTTTAGTCCTGGTTAGACCTGGTTTAGACCTGGTTTAGTCCTGGTTTAGACCTGGTTTAGTCCTGGTTTAGTCCTGGTTTAGACCTGGTTTCCTGGTTTAGTCCTGGTTTAGACCTGGTTTAGACCTGGTTTAGTCCTGGTTTAGTCCTGGTTTAGACCTGGTTTAGACCTGGTTTAGTCCTGGTTTAGTCCTGGTTTAGTCCTGGTTTAGTCCCTGGTTTAGACCTGGTTTAGTCCTGGTTTAGTCCTGGTTTAGTCCTGGTTTAGACCTGGTTTAGACCTGGTTTAGTCCTGGTTTAGTCCTGGTTTAGACCTGGTTTAGTCCTGGTTTAGACCTGGTTTAGACCTGGTTTAGTCCTGGTTTAGTCCTGGTTTAGTCCTGGTTTAGACCTGGTTTAAGTCCTGGTTTAGACCTGGTTTAGTCCTGGTTTAGTCCTGGTTTAGACCTGGTTTAGTCCTGGTTTAGACCTGGTTTAGTCCTGGTTTAGTCCTGGTTTAGTCCTGGTTTAGACCTGGTTTAGACCTGGTTTAGACCTGGTTTAGTCCTGGTTAGTCCTGGTTTAGACCTGGTTTAGACCTGGTTTAGTCCTGGTTTAGTCCTGGTTTAGTCCTGGTTTAGACCTGGTTTAGTCCTGGTTTAGTCCTGGTTTAGTCCTGGTTTAGACCTGGTTTAGACCTGGTTTAGTCCTGGTTTAGTCCCTGGTTTAGACCTGGTTTAGTCCTGGTTTAGACCTGGTTTAGTCCTGGTTTAGTCCTGGTTTAGACCTGTTTAGTCCTGGTTTAGACCTGGTTTAGTCCTGGTTTAGACCTGGTTTAGTCCTGGTTTAGTCCTGGTTTAGTCCTGGTTTAGTCCTGGTTTAGTCCTGGTTTAGACCTGGTTTAGTCCTGGTTTAGTCCTGGTTTAGTCCTGGTTAGACCTGGTTTAGACCTGGTTTAGACCTGGTTTAGTCCTGGTTTAGACCTGGTTTAGACCTGGTTTAGTCCTGGTTTAGACCTGGTTAGTGGTTTTAGACCTGGTTTAGTCCTGGTTTAGACCTGGTCCTTTTAGTCCTGGTTTAGTCCTGGTTAGTCCTGGTTTAGTCCTGGTTTAGACCTGGTTTAGACCTGGTTTAGACCTGGTTTAGTCCTGGTTTAGTCCTGGTTTAGTCCTGGTTTAGACCTGGTTTAGACCTGGTTTAGTCCTGGTTTAGTCCTGGTTTAGACCTGTTTAGACCTGGTTTAGACCTGGTTTAGACTGGTTTAGTCCTGGTTTAGTCCTGGTTTAGTCCTGGTTTAGACCTGGTTTAGTCCTGGTTTAGTCCTGGTTTAGACCTGGTTTAGACCTGGTTTAGTCCTGGTTTAGTCCGTGTTTAGTCCTGGTTTAGACCTGGTTTAGACCTGGTTTTAGACCTGGTTTAGTCTGGTTTAGACCTGGTTTAGACCTGGTTTAGTCCTGGTTTAGACCTGGTTTAGTCCTGGTTTTAGTCCTGCTTTAGACCTGGTTTAGTCCTGGTTTAGACCTGGTTTAGTCCTGGTTTAGTCTGGTTTAGTCCTGGTTTAGACCTGGTTTAGTCCTGGTTTAGACCTGGTTTAGACCTGGTTTTACCTGGTTTAGTCCTGGTTTAGACCTGGTTTAGACCTGGTTTAGACCTGGTTTAGTCCTGGTTTAGTCCTGGTTTAGACCTGGTTTAGTCCTGGTTTAGTCCTGGTTTAGTCCTGGTTTAGTCCTGGTTTAGACCTGGTTTAGTCCTGGTTTAGTTCCTGGTTTAGACCTGGTTTAGTCCTGGTTTAGACCTGGTTTAGTCCTGGTTTAGACCTGGTTTAGTCCTGGTTTAGACCTGGTTTAGACCTGGTTTAGACCTGGTTTAGTCCTGGTTTAGACCTGGTTTAGTCCTGGTTTAGTCCTGGTTTAGACCTGGTTTAGACCTGGTTTAGACCTGGTTTAGTCCTGGTTTAGACCTGGTTTAGTTTTAGTCCTGGTTTAGACCTGGTTTAGTCCTGGTTTAGTCCTGGTTTTAGACCTGGTTTAGTCCTGGTTTAGACCTGGTTTAGTCCTGGTTTAGTCCTGGTTTAGTCCTGGTTTTAGACCTGGTTTAGTCCTGGTTTAGTCCTGGTTTAGTCCTGGTTTAGACCTGGTTTAGACCTGGTTTAGTCCTGGTTTAGTCCTGGTTTAGTCCTGGTTTAGTCCTGGTTTAGACCTGGTTTAGACCTGGTTTAGACCTGGTTTAGTCCTGGTTTAGACCTGGTTTAGTCCTGGTTTAGTCCTGGTTTTAGACCTGGTTTAGTCCTGGTTTTAGTCCTGGTTTAGACCTGGTTTAGTCCTGGTTTAGACCTGTTTTAGTCCTGGTTTAGTCCTGGTTTAGTCCTGGTTTAGACCTGGTTTAGACCTGGTTTAGACCTGTTTGAGTCCTGGTTTAGTCCTGGTTTAGTCCTGGTTTAGACCTGGTTTAGACCTGGTTTAGTCCTGGTTTAGTCCTGGTTTAGACCTGGTTTAGAACCTGGTTTAGTCCTGGTTTAGTCCTGGTTTAGTCCTGGTTTAGACCTGGTTTAGACCTGGTTTAGTCCTGGTTTAGTCCTGGTTTAGACCTGGTTTAGTCCTGGTTTAGACCTGGTTTAGTCCTGGTTGTTAGTCCTGGTTTAGACCTGGTTTAGACCTGGTTTAGTCCTGGTTTAGTCCTGGTTTAGACCTGGTTTAGTCCTGGTTTAGACCTGGTTTAGTCCTGGTTTAGTCCTGGTTTAGACCTGGTTTAGTCCTGGTTTAGACCTGGTTTAGTCCTGGTTTAGACCTGGTTTAGTCCTGGTTTAGACTTGTTTAGTGTGGTTTTGGTTTCAGCGCATCAGCACGGCGTCTGGCGACGGGAAACATTACTGTTATCCTCACTTCACCTGCGCCGTCGACACCGAGAACATCAGGAGGGTTTTCAACGACTGCAGAGACATAATCCAGAGAATGCACCTGCGCCAGTACGAGCTCCTCTAGACCAAGACCAGGACCAGGACCAGGACCAGGACCAAGACCAGGACCAGGACCAGGACCAGGACCAGAGACCAGGACCAAGACCAGGACCAGGACCAAGACCAGGACCAGGACCAGGACCAGGACCAGGACCAGGACCAGGACCAGGACCAGGACCAGACCAGGACCAGGACCAGGACCAGGACCAGGACCAGGACCAGGACCAGGACCAGGACCACGACCAGGACCAGGACCAGGACCAGGACCAGGACCAGGACCAGGACCAGGACCAGGACCAGGACCAGGACCAGGACCAGAGAAGGACCAGGACCAGAAGTCAGACTCAGACTTGGTGCACAGATGTGAGGTCTTGGTCAGGTTCTTCTCAAACTTCTGCTGAAGCTTCTGGAGACAAATATTTAGATGAAACGTTGTCGTTTAGACTAAAACTCTGTGTCTGTGAGATCTGTGTATTTATATTTGTGTATTTATATTTGTGTATTTATATTTGTGTATTTATGTTTGTTTATTTATCAGTAAATTATTTTCTATAAACTTATGTAAGAAAATCTCAAGTTTCCACAGAAAATCTTGATGTTTCTGCTCAAACCTGTTTATGTCAAACTACTGTACCAGCTTTAGTCATGTGACCTGTATCTGCCTCCTGATTGGCTGTGAGCTGTATCTGCCTCCTGATTGGCTGAGATGTTCTTCACAATAAACTTTGGCTCAACTATAGCGACTCGGCTCCTTCAGTCCAACAGACCCGGACTAGACTCAGACCCGGACTAGACTCAGACCCGGACTAGACTCAGACCCGGACTAGACTCAGACCAGGTCTAGACTCAGACCCGGACTAGACTCAGACCCGGACTAGACTCAGACCCGGACTAGACTCAGACCAGGTCTAGACTCAATATTACAGTACTAATATTTTTATGTATCTGAGGAAGGGGGTATGTAGTACATGTACACAGTAGTACATGTATACAGTAGTACATGTACACAGTAGTACATGTACACAGTAGTACATGTGTATAGTACATGTATACAGTAGTACATGAGTACACAGTAGTACATGTGTATACAGTATTGTGTATATGCAGTAGTGTGCAGTATTTGCAATACTTTTATTTGGGTTTTTTGAGTATTTATTGAGTATTTGCAGTAGTGTGGTGCTTGCAGTACATGTGTACACAGTAGTACTTGTGTATGCAGTAGTGTGCAGTATTTGTAGTACTTTTATTCGAGTCTTTTGAGTATTTATTGTAACTTGTGTGCGGCGCATGCGCACTGGCCTCCTCCGCGTGTGTTTGGCCCGCTGCCTGCGCGCTGCCGCTGCTCGTCCTCGTCACTTTAAACCTGGTTTAACGTGATCCAGCTCCGACCCGGACCGGACCGAGCCGCGCCACGGTAAGCCCCGCAGACCGCGGAGAGCCCCCGGTGCGTCCCCGGTGCGTCCCCGGCGCGTCCCGGAGCTCCCGCTGCGGGCCCGCGCTCCTCCTCGGCCCCGCTGCTCGGCCCCGGTCTGCGCGCACTCGAGGCTCCGGGCCGCGGCTCGTCCGTGCGCCCGGGCCCGCGCCTGTCCTCGCGCCTTCCCCGGGCCGCCGCACGCGCCTTCCCCGCGTCCCCACCGCGCGCTCCTCCGGGCCAGAGCGCTCCGGGGACGCACCGGGGACGCTCCCGGGACGCACCGGGGACGCTCCGGCGCCATGTTCGGCTCCTGGTTCCTCCCGGAGCTTTTTACGCCATTTTGTCCTTGTTTAGCCGCAGTTAGCTTCACAATAACACGTCCCTCTGCGCCGAACAGAACCACGGTCCACAGAACATCTACACTTCATCCGAACCTTCCGGTCCCAACCGAACCAGCGCCGAGCTAAAGGCTGAGCTACACCCGACAGGACCGAACCGAACCGAACCTGAGCCAGAACCGGCGCCATTTCACCAAAAACACTCATGAAACAAACCGAACCGAACACTCCCGCCTCATGTGACTTTAAACTCACTCTTTTTAATCTTCTGTTGCCCTTTAAACGAAGAATGTTCCGCACTGCGCTTTAAAACCACAACTGTACTTTATTATGAACGGCGTTAGCTTAGCCGTTAGCCGTTAGCCTGTTAGCTCCTGGGGCTAAAAACATTCAGACTAAAAACAATAAAAACACTAAAGCCGCGCGGGTTTCGGCTCCGCGGCTCAAACTGCGCCGCGGCTCTTGATTTTCTGTCATTTTGTTTCACGTTTAACCGGACTAAGAGGCTAAGATAACCCAAGATAACCCAAGATAACCCGGGCTAACCCGGGCTAACCCGCGCTAACCTCCGCTCCGTCACATTTACACTGTTCATGTTCTGTTCGTGTTTTTCGGTTCCGTCGCGGAAATCTCGTTTTTCTGTCGCATTTTTCGGCTCATTTTGACCCAAACCTTCGGCGCGGCTCGTGCGGCTCGTGCGTCATGACGCAGCGGACAAAAGCTCCGTGAACATTTCCATAAATCCAAAGACGCACGAGCCGCACGAGCCGCGCTTTTCCTCCGAGGCCAAAAAAACCAAAGAAAAACTCGTGAGGAACATTTAAACCCGCACGAAAGTCACGCAGCGCGAAACAACAAAGACCCCGCGTGATGAGCCGCAGTTTCACCGCGGCTCCGAGCTCCACTCGCGGCTCCTCCGCGCGCCCCTGTCCGGTCCGCACGCGCTCCGAGCCGCGGCTCCGGTCCGGTCCGCGGGCTCCGGTCCGGTCACTGGTCCGGTCTCTGGTCCAGACCAGGTCCGGACCCTGGGACGAGTCTGGAAGAGCCACATGCACGCGCACTTGAGCGCGTGACCGCCTGGGGTCTGAGGTGCGCGCGGCTGGGCGTGCACGCGGCTCCTGGACCGTGCACGAGACCGCGCGGGGTTTTGTGCCTTTGAGCCAAACACAGAACAGCGACTTTATGATCAGAGAAAAGATGAAAAAGAAAAAAAGAGTTTAACACAAACAAAAGTCATAAATAAAAATAAACAAATATAAATATAACTTCAAATAATAATTATAATAATAATAATTATTATTATTATCAGGTTTGTTCTGCCGACTGAGGCCAAAGAGTTGAACTCTGCAGAGTCAAAGTGAAGAAAAGAACTTCAGTTTGTGTTTTATTCAGAATAAAGTAGAAAAGTTCAGGCTCTAATCGTTAGAAAAAAGAAAAAAATTAACATTTGTGAAAAATCTTGATCTGAAAATGTCCCTTTGACCTTTGATCTGTCACTTCCTGTTGAGTCTAAAATCATTTTTTGATCCTGATGTTGTTTGATTTGACTTTTTATTTGAGGCTCATGATTCAACGACTGACACAGGAAGTGACAGGTCAAAGGTCAAAGGGTCATTTTTATATTTTTATTTAAAGGAGAAAAAGTCTCATAAAAACCACATGAAGTCACCTGATGTTCCAGTGTTCTACCTGCAGGGGGCAGTGTAACAGTGAATATGTAATAAATGTACGACTGATTAAACACGACGTCACCGAGGAATTAAACAAAAGAATATAATAATAATAATATTAATAATAAGTTTAAATGTTTTTATATTTGTGAAGTGTAATAAAACGTTGGGAGGGCATCAGGTGAAGTGACAAAACTCAGTGTTTCTTTTGACCTTTTGGATGTTTAAATAAAATTTAGATTAAATATTCACACTGTTCAGATTGAATTGATCTCACTTGTTTATGTTCAATAATAAAACAAATCCATCCAGAAAGAACAAAAATTTGGCTGTTTGCTGCAGTTGTTATAATCAGTCGGAGCAAGTCGAGGCTCTTGGAAAAAAGGATCAAAACTCAAACACAGTGGACTCCAGGCAACTCCAAAACAGTAGAAAAAGTGAACAAATTGCACGAGGAAACTTATAGTTAAAAGGCTTTTATTTGAATGGCCAAAGCCGACATGTTTCCACCTTAACTGGTCTTTATCAAATAAATCAAATCCACTCACAGTCGAACAACTAAAACCTGAATCAAGTTGAAGGAATAAAAACATGACACAGTTTTTATTAAACCAATACTCACTAATAATTTAATCATTCATGGAACAAATCGAACAAGAAAAACGTAAAGTTCAAGTGTGAACATGTCCGACGACGTCACAGCATCGACACTTTATTTTAATACGCTACAAAATAATTAAAAATATTATTTTGTGTAGTGTTATTGTCTGTGATCGTGTGAGACGCCAACTCGACCCCGCCCCCTACCATGGCCCCGCCCCCGTCCTGTCTTGGCCCCGCCCCTGGCCCCGCCCCCTGTCCTGGCCCCGCCCCCTGCCGCAAAACTCAACACTTTAGTGTCTGTAGGTTTAAGAATCACTGATTTAAAACATTGATCTGAGTCCGTCAGATCTGCTGACGCGTCTCCACGGTGACGCGCCGCTGTTGCGTCGTCACGGTGACGTGTTGCTGTTGCGTCTCCATGGTAATGGCGTTTTGTGGTGCAGATGTGCGAGACGGTGAAGTACGTGGACGAGGAGCACAAGAGCGTTTTCCTGAAGCTCCTGAACGAGCAGCGTCTGGAGGGAGAACACTGCGACATCGCCGTCGTCGTGGAGGACGTGAAGTTCAGAGCTCATCGCTGCGTCCTCGCCGCCTGCTCCAACTACTTCAAGAAACTCTTCAAGAAACACGAGGTACGGAGTCGAACCCACAACCTCTGAGCAACACACTCACAGAACAAGAGTCGAACCCACAACCTCTGAGCAACACACTCACAGAACAAGAGTCGAACCCACAACCTCTGAGCAACACACTCACAGAACAAGAGTAACGTGTAGTTGACTCTGACTACAATATTAAGTTGTTCAGAAGTAGATTTTAAAGTTTATAATATGAGAAATTGTATTATATTTTTAAGTTGGCAATAATAATAATAACAAAATGATACTGACTTATTTATTTGTTCGATATATATATATGTATATATGAATATATATATATATATATATATGTATATATGTATTATAAATAGGACAGATATGACATAATAAACAAAACAAAACAAAAACAACCAAACAACTTGAGTTCGTCTGAGAGTCCGGTCAGATCCTTTATCGTCTTTTGGGGGTTTCGTCCACTTGTCGTATTGACTGAGATTCAAAGGTCTTAAAAGTTTTTCTTGAAGTTTAAATCCAGCGAAATAGAGGAAAAAATATATATGTAGTTTGATCTCCTACCACTAGGTGGGGTACTCACAGCTCCACATCACAGACTCACGGCTGAAGTGTTGAAGTTGAGTTTTAGTCCCAAAGGGTGGGGACAGGGCGGGGACAGGGCGGCGGGTGGGGACAGGGCGGGCGGGGGGTGGGGACAGGGGGGACAGGGCGGCGGGTGGGACAGGGCGGGGACAGGGCGGCGGGTGGGGACAGGGGGGGGACAGGGCGGGGGCGGGGACAGGGCGGGGAGCGTAACCTCTGCGGCGGCGTGTTTCAGGTGGATAACTCGTCGGTGATCGAGATCGACTTCATTCGCTCAGACATTTTCGAGGAGGTTCTGAACTACATGTACACAGCACGAATCAGCGTCAAGAAGAAAGACGTCAACCTCATGATGTCATCAGGACAAATCCTCGGCATCCGCTTCTTAGACAAACTCTGCTCCCAGGTACCTCCCCTTTAACCTCACCCCTTTAACCTCACCTCTTTAACCTGAACCCTTTAACCTCACCTCTTTAACCTCAACCCTTTAACCTCACCTCTTTAACCTCAACACTTTAACCTCACCTCTTTAACCTCAACCCTTTAACCTCACCTCTTTAACCTCAACCCTTTAACCTCACCTCTTTAACCTCAACACTTTAACCTCACCTCTTTAACCTGCACCTCCCCTTTAACCCTGCACCTCGACTTTAACCCTTTAACCCTCCCCTTTACCCTTGTTTATTGGTTCATTCTCTGATGTTATATTTTCTTCGGTGTTTTTGTGGTGATTTTGTGGAACATGTTTGTCTGGATGAACAGGAAGTGAAAATGCCTTCAGATTTGGAGACGTTTGTTTCTGTCGATGTTTCACTTTTTTTTGTCGTGATCTTTTTTTTTTTCTTTGACACTTTTTGGAAAAACAAACGTCTGTGTTTGAGGAGGACGCGTTAGAGCATGACGTCACTTCCTGTGCGGCGACGTCACTTCCTGTGCGGCGACGTCACTTCCTGTGCGGCGACGTCACTTCCTGTGCGGCGACGTCACTTCCTGTGCGGCGACGTCACTTCCTGTTTGGTGTTTTGCAGAAACGCGACGTGTCAGAGGAAAAGGACAAGTTTCCGTACGACATCGTCAAGTTGGCCCTGCCCCCCGAGGCTCAACTGCCCCCGGACTCTGAGGTACAACAACACAACTACACACAACTACACAACACAACTACACACACAACTACACACAACTACACACACAACTACACAACTACACAACTATACACACAACTACACAACTACACAACTACACACAACTACACAACACAACTACACACACAACTACACACAACTACACACACAACTACACACACTACACACACTACACACACTACACACAACTACACAACACAACTACACACACAACTACACACAACTACACACAACTACACAACTACACACACAACTACACAACTACACACAACTACACAACTACACACAACTACACAACTACACACAACTACACAACACAACTACACACACAACTATACACAACTACACACAACACAACTACACACAACTACACACACAACTACACACAACTACACAACTATACACACAACTACACACACAACTACACAACTACACACAACTACACAACTATACACACAACTACACAACACAACTACACACAACACAACTACACACACAACTATACACAACTACACACACAACTACACACACAACTACACACACAACTACACACAACTATACACAACACAACTACACACAACACAACTACACACACAACTACACACAACTACACACACAACTACACACAACTATACACACAACACAACTACACACAACTACACACACACACACACTACACACAACTATACACACACAACACAACTACACACAACTACACACAACAACTACACAACAACTACACACACAACTACACAACTACACACAACTACACACAACTACACACAACTACACACACACACACACACTACACACACACACTACACAACTACACACACACTACACACACACACACAACTACACACAACTACACACACAACTACACACAACTACACACACTACACACAACTACACACACACACACACACACACAATACACACACAACTACACACAACTACACACAACTACACACACTACACACACTACACACTACACACAACTACACACACACACACTACACACACTACACACACAACTACACACAACTACACACACACACACAACTACACACACACTACACACACTACACACACTACACACAACTACACAACACACACACTACACACACAACTACAACACAACACACTACACACACAACTACACACAACTACACACACTACACACACAACTACACACAACTACACACAACTACACACAACTACACACAACTACACACAACACACACACACACTACACACAACTACACACACAACTACACACAACTACACACAACTACACACACACACAACACACAACTACACACACACACACACTACACACAAACTACACAACAACTACACACAACTACACACTACACACAACTACACAAACAACAACACTACACACACAACTACACACAACTACACACACACTACACACACACTACACACACACTACACACAACACTACACACACAACTACACACACAACTACACAACAACACACAACTACACACACACACACTACACACACACTACACACAACTACACACACACTACACACACACACTACACACACAACTACACACAACTACACACACAACTACACAACTACACACAACTACACACACTACACAACTACACACACAACTACACACACAACACTACACACAACACACTACACACTACACACAACTACACACAACTACACACAACACACACTACACACACAACTACACACAACTACACTACACACACAACTACACAACTACACACAACTACACACACTACACTACACACACACACTACTACACACAACTACACACACACACACACTACACAACACACACACTACACACACAACTACACACACACTACACACACACTACACACACAACACAACTACACACACACACACAACACACAACTACACACAACTACACACACACACAACTACACACAACTACACACAACTACACACACACACACTACACACAAACTACACACACAACTACACAACTACACACTACACACAACTACACAACACACACTACACACACAACATACACACACTACACACAACTACACACTACACACACAACTACACACAACTACACACAACTACACACACACACACACTACACACACACACTACACACAACTACACACACACACACACTACACACAACTACACACACAACTACACACACACACACACTACACAACTACACACACTACACACACTACACAACACAACTACACACACAACTACACACAACAACTACACACAACTACACACACACACACTACACACACAACTACACACAACTACACACAACTACACACACAACTACACACAACACTACACACACACACACAACTACACACACAACTACACACACACACACACAACTACACACTACACACACACTACACACACTACACACACACAACTACACAACTACACACAACTACACACACACACTAACACACAAACACTACACAACACACACTACACACAACACACAACTACACACACAACTACACACACTACACACACTACACACACAACTATACACACACACACTACACACAACTACACACAACTACACACACAACTACACACAACTATACACAACACAACTACACACAACACAACTACACACACAACTACACACAACTACACACAACTATACACACAACACAGCTACACACAACACAACTACACACACAACTACACACACAACTACACACAACTATACACACAACACAACTACACACAACTACACACACAACTACACACACAACTATACACACAACACAACTACACACAACTACACACACAACTACACACAACTACACACAACTACACACACAACTACACACAACTACACACAACACAACTACACACACTACACACACAACTACACACACACACACTACACACAACTACACACACAACTACACACACAACTACACACAACTACTACACACAACACACACACACACACAACTACACAACTACACACACACAACTACACACACAACTACACAACTACACACACAACTACACACACACACTACACACACACACACTACACACAACTACACACAACTATACACACAACTACACAACTACACACACAACTACACAACTACACACACAACTACACACAACTACACACAACTACACACACAACTACACACACAACTATACACACAACTACACACAACTACACACACAACTACACACACAACTACACACAACTACACAACTACACAAACTATACACAACTATACACACAACTATACACACAACTACACACTCAACTACACACACAACTACACACACAACTACACAACTACACACAACTACACACAACTATACACACAACTATACACACAACACAACTACACACACAACTACACACACAACTACACAACTACACACACAACTACACAACTACACACACAACTACACACACAACTACACACAACACAACTACACACACAACTATACACACAACTACACACACAACTATAAACACAACTACACACACAACTACACACAACTATAAACACAACTACACACACAACTACACAACTACACACACAACTACACACAACACAACTACACACACAACTATATACACACAACTACACACAACTATACACACAACTACACACACAACTACACACAACTATACACACAACTATACACACAACTACACACAACTACACACACAACTACACACAACTACACACACAACTACACACAACTACACACACAACACACACAACTACACACACAACTACACACAACTACACACAACTACACAACTACACACAACTATACACACAACTACACAACTACAGACACATTTTACTTGAGTAAAACAAATGTAATACTCGAGTATCATGTGTGATTGACAGGTGCGTGTGTGATTGACAGGTGCGTGTGTGATTGACAGGTGCGTGTGTGATTGACAGGTGCGTGTGTGATTGACAGGTGTGTGTGTGTGATTGACAGGTGCGTGTGTGATTGACAGGTGTGTGTGATTGACAGGTGCGTGTGTGATTGACAGGTGTGTGTGATTGACAGGTGTGTGTGATTGACAGGTGCGTGTGTGATTGACAGGTGTGTGTGTGATTGACAGGTGTGTGTGGTTGACAGGTGCTGGGGGACCATGATGACCCGCCCTCTGATGACCTGGTGGAGTCGTCGTCCAATCAGGAGCTGGATAAATCCCCCACTGCGGCTTTAAGAGTCCAGGAGGCCATTTTGAAAGAACTCGCCAACGAAGACGTGCACAAGGTGAGACAGGAGCAGACAGGTGACAGACAGGAGCAGACAGGTGACAGACAGGAGCAGACAGGTGACAGACAGGAGCAGACAGGTGACAGACAGGAGCAGACAGGTGACAGACAGGAGCAGACAGGAGCAGGTGTAACTGGGCGTGTGTCGTGCAGGTGTCGTGTTACGATCAGGACGTGGACATGGAGGGCGGGGCTAAGGAGCTGGAGGCGGAGTCTGGGACGCAGACGTTGGGTTTCGGGGGCGACCTCGGGGTCAAAGACGAGCAGCCGACCTGGAGCAGCGACATGAAGCTGGAGTACCTCCTGTACGGCGCCAGGGACGCCCTCACCTGCCACGTCTGCGGAAAGGCCTTCCTCGACGAGAACAAACTCAGGTCAGTTTAGACCCTGTCTCTCACCTGTCTCTCACCTGTCTCTCACCTGTCTCTCACCTGTCTCTCACCTGTCTCTCACCTGTCTCTCACTGTCTCTCACCTGTCTCTCACCTGTCTCTCACCTGTCTCTCACCTGTCTCTCACCTGTCGTGTGTGTTTCAGGAAACATGAGAAGCTTCACTCTGCAGAGCGTCCGTTCAGCTGTGAGATCTGCACCAAGGCCTTCACCACACACGCACACCTCAAAGGTACAAACACACACACTACACACACTATACACACACACACACTACACACACTATACACACACACACACTACACACACTATACACACACACACACTACACACACACATACACACACTACACACACTATACACACACACACACACTACACACTATACACACACACACACACTACACACACTATACACACACACACACACACTACACACACATACACACACACACACACTACACACCACTATACACACACACACACACACACACACACACACTATACACACACACACACTACACACACTATACACACACACACACACTTACACACACTATACACACACACACACTACACACACACTATACACACACACACACACTACACACACTATACACACACACACACACTACACACACTACACACACACACACACTACACACACTATACACACACACACACACTACACACACTATACACACACACACACTACACACACTATACACACACACACACACACACTATACACACACACACACACACACTACACACACACACTATACACACACACACACACACACTACACACACTATACACACACACACACACACACACACTACACACACTATACACACACACACTATACACACTATACACACACACACACACTACACACACTATATACACACACACACACACACACTACACACACTATATACACACACACACACACACACACACTACACACACTATACACACACACACACACACACACTACACACACACTATACACACACACACACACACTACACACACTATACACACACACACACTACACACACTATACACACACACACACACACACACTACACACACACTATACACACACACACTACACACACTATACACACACACACTATACACACACTATACACACACACTATACACACACACACACACACACTACACACACACACTACACACACTATACACACACACACTATACACACACACATTATACACACACACTACACACACTATACACACACTACACACACACACACTACACACACTATACACACACACACTACACACACTATACACACACACACTACACACACTACACACACTACACAATACACACACTACACACACACA